GGTATTTGGATTCTCTTTTCCTTTTAATTCAAATAGAATCCCTGAATAATCGAATTCAATATTAGAAAGTATTTGCCAATCTTGTATCCTTGAAGAGATACTTTGAGAAGCTAATGTGAGATCGAATATACTTAGATTTGTCAGATTAGTTCGAAAGAAAGTAATAGCACCAGGTTCATTCAATAGATTTAGATTTTGATCTTCAATCCACTCTACTAGTTGGTCAGCATTAACGCTTTTATTTGAAAAGGGATTCCATAATAGATAATGGGAGTTGAAGTCGCCTAATACTATTGTTTGTTGATTAATCGATAGATTATAAAGGGACCGATCAATTGTATATCCTTTTTTCTGTGCTTGATCTGCTTCGTTATATATATTGATAATTTGGAAGGTTTCGCTTCCATTTTGGTAGTTTATTATCTGTATATTCGGGTCTATTGGCAAATGAGGGACTAGATTAACTATAGCTCGGAGGTCTTTGGAAATATATAGGAGGATTCGGGGTTTGAGATTGGGGTTTGAAGTTGGGGAGAATTTGTATAAAATTGGAATATATAGTCGATCTGCAATTAGAGAAATTGGTTCCATTTTTTTGAATCCAAAGTTTCTAAATTAAAATCAGATCAATATTGAGCTTAAGAGTAAGCTGTAGAATATTTTCTGTAGCTTGAGGGCTTTTGTTAAGGTTTATTTGAAGAAATCTGATATTATTGTAACACATTGATTAATACTATTGGGGGATGCGAAGACTCAACACCTGTACGCGGTGCATCCTACGAACCTCCAGCTCTCTCTTGAGAGTCTGCAGAGCTAAGATTGAGTCGCAGATGGAATTGGAAGAATTGGAAGGAGAGAGGTTCAGAGATATAGCGAAGGATTATATTACGATTTTACGACAGCAATACCTACGAAGAGTTGAATACCAGCTTTAGACGCGGATACGAAGGTTACGGAAGCCCCGGTTAGATTCAACATCTACCATCGATTACTATTTCAAATACAGAAATATGATACGCAGTAGGTCTCTTCTTTTAGAAGAGTCTTTTCGATATAGAGCTTGCCGCCGCTCTACTCGTACTACAACCCTTTTTTATACCCTTTGGCTTTCAGCCACTCGAATACTACGACGACACAATACAGAGAATGCCATCGCTTTCAAATTAATACCATGCTCTGGGCATCGATACAATACAACGTTTTTCTTTTAATTTCGAATTTTCGAATTTTCCGAATTGATTTGTGTGTGGGCAATAGGGCTTAGGATTCGGCCCTGCCCCACTATTTTCAACAGTTTCGACTATACACATCTAATAAGAGCTGGAGGATATCAAGCTTATGAAGATATACAAGGGGCTAGTTTAAAAGAGATAAAGACAGAGAAGAGTGGTGCCTTCTTCTGCTATCTCACTAGCAAGAGGACCCTTTGTTATATTGGAGGCAACTCGGGAGGGGATAACTCTTGCCTTTTATAGAAAGGGAGGGATAGCAAATTGGATTTAGGATTTTAAAAAGAGAAATTGGATATTGGGATGCTTTAATTGGATTAGGGGTAGGGGAAGAGTGAGGAAGGAAGTGTCTCAGAGGATGAAGACTATTTAATCTCTATTTGCACTCCGAATAGAGATCGGGCATAGCACCCCAGCATTCGTTTTTACTCCCCCAAATTGAATATATCTACTATAGATATCCACTAGCAGTTGTTAGGTTCTTAAAGCCTAGCCGTCCTAAATAGTCTTGGACTGAGAAAAGGACGTTAATTAAAAAAAAAAAAAAAAAAAAATTAATACTATTGGCTTTTTTGTTGAATAGCTTTGAAGATTTCGCAGCTTTTAGAGCTAGCTATATGATTTCCTTGACAATTAGAGCATTTGATAATAATATGAAAACAGAGTTTTTCTCTTAAATTGCAAACCATATAGAGATATATTGCTGTAATGTATTTGCCTCTATACAATCTGCAAAAAGGGTCTTTTTTGCAATATAAGCTTTGATACCCAAAGCCCTGGTATTTTTGGCATTGTATAATAGATTTGGATTTATAGAATTGTTCTATTCTAATACTAGTGCCTGCAATATACAATCGCTTTCGAATAGCTAATTCGGCTTCTGATTTTGAGGTAAAAGCTATAACGATAGCACCATCTTTTTAGTAGGCTCTTTTAGCTATTAGAATAAGCCAGAAGGAAGTTCCTATTAGCTTGAAATCTATATTGAAGATTTTGATTTCAGTTATAATCAAATCCATTCCTTTAGACCCAGAGAACTCTTTTATAGGGATATTATAAATAATAACCCTATGCCATTCTTGGTCTTTTTGAATTCTTTCGAATTTAATAATATTTTTCCAAATGGCTTTTTTTTCAATTAGGAATTGTATTGTAAAGGGATTATTAATAATAATAATGATATTATTATTGAAAAAGAATATTACTATAGCAACTATTGGTTCTTTAATTCCAATTTCCTGGAAGGCTTTATTAATCTTGTTTCGAATCGTTAAAGGCGAGAAGGTTTTAGAGTTAGGGATTTCTGATTTGATTAAGAGTAATCGTTTTTGGATAATACTAGTCTTTTTCTCTATTGGAATAGATTTGTTACTTTTTCCTTTAGTAACTAGATTCTATTCTCCTTTTTTTGTAATATTAGTGTAAAAAGGTTTTGATATTAATATTGTGGTACTGGTGGGAGCCGATTTGGTTAAAGCTTTGGTTTGAGATTCGATTTTCTGTATAGCTATTTCCAAGTAATTGATTTGGGATATGATGATTTTGGAAGCTGTAGTGAGATTTCCTTTTTCAGTATATTCTCTAAAGATTTCTAAAAGGTCTAATAGCTTAGATTACTTATCACGTGATTGAGAAAGAGTAAAAACTAAAACTATAAGATCTCTAGCTTTTAGAATAACTTCTTTAGGAGTGATTGGATTGTTTTGGATTTTGAATTACTTGTTTGGATTGGTAAGTAGTATAATAAAGTTTCGCTTTTTGTTTTAATTGAAGATTTGAGTAATATTGTTTGGCTTTTGAATAATAAAAGGATTGCTAGATATATTGAAATCTTATATTCTGATTTCAGGGCTGGTTATTTGATTGATTAATGAAGTAAGACTTAATAATTCGATTGGGATTCTTCTAGAATAAGTAGGCAAATTTGGGATTATAGAAGGGCTGGAAGTAATTGCTAGATAGGTATTTGATATTATAGATTGATTTGGGGTGGCTTTTCTCATATCTATATCTAAAAAGTATTCAGATTAGTATTTGGAATCTTTATAACTATATAATCGGAGTGTTCCATATTAATATTGAGATTAGGTTATTTATTCTGAAGTCTTAGGATAGAGTTTTTCATGCGTTTTTTTGCATGCGTTTTGTATTTCGAAATGTTGACGACAGTATCACAACAATTACTGGCCAGAATCACTTAGAGATAATTGCAATGGAATTGTATTGATAACTATGATCTAGAGCGATTGTGAGAAGGTTGTATTTCGAAGAAAAAGTTTCCTTCGAAATTTATTGTGTGTGTATAAATGTTTAAACATTTGTAATTGATTGAATATTTATAGTCATTTGAACATTTGAATATTTGTAGTCATTTGAATATTTATAAGAAGTTGAATGTTTCGAAGAAGTTGAATTTTTATAAGTATATGAATGTTTATAATTAATTGAATGTTTAAAGTCAGTTGAATATTTATAGTCAATTGAACATTCTATAAGCTATTAAACAATTATAGGCACTTGAACATTCTTTAAGTTATCAAATAATCATATGCACTTGAATATTCAAGATAGTTTGAATACTCAGAGTCAACCAGACATTCTAAGCGACTTCAACAATCAAAGCAGTTCAAGCATTCAAATGTATCTAATTGTCTATCCCGATTCTAGCATTCAAATTGATTACAGACAATCAAATCATTTGAATGTGCAAGTGCTTTCAAGTAACTCAATGGCTCTTGACAATGTTAAGAAATTGAGAATGAAGATGGGAAAGAACTATGATCTTTATTTACAAGTACCTAGGTATGTAAGAAATTTTTCGAACGTTTTTCAATGCTTTTCTCTCTTTGTATCAAAGTGATTCAATTTTCCAATTCAATTCAATTCAATTCAATTCAATTCAATTCAATTCCAAATTCAAATTCAAATTCCAATAACAAGATGCTTTTCTCTCGTTGTACCAAAGTGATTCAATTTCCAAATTTTCCAATTCAATTTAATCTAATCAATCCAATCCAATCCAATCCAATCCAATCCAATCCAATCCAATCCAATCCAATCCAATCCAATCCAATCCAATCCAATAATCAAAATGCAATTCAAAGCACTTGTTGACAACTTTTTTGCGTGGTTGGCAGCCGGTGTTTTAGAGTGGTTCTACTGCGATGTTCTTGGGTGGATTATAATTACTTACTGTACGCACATCCAGTCTGCAAGTCCGAATTTTTTTGGTATCTCGTCACCAATAAAGACCAAGTTAGTATCTACTTCTCATAATCATACAATCAGACCCTCGAACTTGCTTTAGCGTTGCACCAGTTACGACACACGTATCTGCTAACATTCAACTCTCGAGTTTGCTCTTGATCTGCAAGACCTCCGGAACGTAGTTCAAAAATTTGATCGACAGTTCGCTTGTTCCTCAACTAGGAATCTAGTCACAGTCCGTCGCAAAACTTAGGTCTACGCTATTCGCAGGACGAATTTTACCTCACATTCTCCCATTTTCGAGAATTATCTATATGATCCTCATCCTCATACTCTGCACAACTTTTTGGATCTTAATTTCTCGACAACAATTACCTAGGATCATCACATTTACTTTTTCATTGAATTAGGAGGAACGGTTACAACCTCTAAGACTTGTCGTTGGAAATAATAGAACACGACGAATCCTTTTGACTATAAAAGCCCAATTGTTCTCCAATCAGGAGGAAAAATAGGTGAGCGATGTTTATCGATTGGTTTCTCCCGATTGCTTCTCTGACCTCAATGCTCGTCATGCTCTTTGCTGGCTGGGAGTGCGCTCAAACATTTGGACGCGCGAAACAAGACCGTCAAATGCGCGCCCGAGTCCTCAACGAAATACTAGAAGCTCCTCCGGAGAAGCGTACAGAGAGAATCCTCGAATTATGTTTTTTCGTCATCGCGGATAATGAGAGTACTCGGTCTCGATTGGAAAATGATGTGCTTCCGGAAGTGTATGAATATCTTGAGATGCAAATGCGGAGGAATGAGATGGATGGTGGAAGGTTCAGGGATGTTTTGTGCGTAGAAAAGTGGATGGGGTATGAGAAGCAAGTTTTGAGAGTTAAGAAGCGTATTGAGGAATTTAAGGAGAAGGAGAGGGAGCGAGAGAAAGAGAAGGAGGAGGCGCCTTTGGAGGGAGGGATTTCGAAGAATGCACGAAAATCGGGGAAAGATGAAGCGGGATGTGTGGATCTTGAGAAGGGAGTTTGAGGGAGAGATCTGGGGTAAATTTGTATGGAAACATCGAAAGTAAAATATTGAACACGTAACCTTCAAAGTTTAGTGTCTAAAATATTACACAGGTTCTTCTGCAGCATGAAATTTATATAAGGAAGGCTCAATGATTGAGATTTTTCATCTTCCCATACTAGTTGATTCGATTTTCACCTGTGCTCGCCACGTAACTAAGTTTCTTGCAAACAGAGCCCCGCATACCTTTTAGCTATGTAAATGGCATGAAAGACACTCTTTTCGTTTTGGAATTCATTCCATTCAGCCATATTGGGAAGACGAGCATTTTTTCTCGAATATATTCAAGATGGATCCGTTGGATATTGTACTCAGGGGAAATCACGCTTTAGATCCAACCTCCAGGAAGGCCATGCGCGTTCCAATGGCTAAGATCTTGGATGGACAGTGGAAAAGTGCAGCGGAAGGAAAAGAAAGAAGAGATATTGTGGGGAATAGACAGAAAGATCTGAATTTGGAAGATGAAAATATGATATACGTAACATCATTCGGGGCGGCGATAGTAGCAAGGAAAAGGATCGATAAGCCGAAGCCACTAATATGTAATGCTCACAGGCGCAAGTGTATGGAGGCGAGAGACAGGCTTTTCAGGGGGGCAATTATTGAGGGAAAGAAAGTTTCAAGAGGCAATAGGGAGAAAGATGAGCTTTAATTTAGGAGTCTATCTTTTATTGAAGTTCTTGTTGGTTATCTGAATGGAATCATGTAGACGGACAATTAACGAACTTAGATATCTGAAATCATTACAATCTCCTCATGACTTCCGGAATACAATTAGGCGATATATTAGATAATGTAACAGTTGAGAAATCGAACTTATTCATACTGTACATCACTATCAGCTTAATCCCTTGACTATATACCAATTTCTCATCTCTCCCATCCAGGTCCTTTTTCAAGATCAATGTTTTCCGCCATCTTTGCTTTCGTTGAAGAAATTCCTCTCTTGTACTCCTCAATACGCTTCTGAACCCTGGCAATCTCTTTCTCAAATCCCATTGGACGCTCCACAGTTGGTATGTTCCAGTTCTCTTTGATTTCTAATGCAAAATTACGTCGACGACTTGGAGTCACTCTAAGCTGCGCGTCGCAATATCTGTTAAGTTCGGATGTGGACAATGTCCGGAACCATTCGCTTCTTTGAACAGTTTCTGTGCCACCAATTCGTCGTTCGAGATGCTCGAGAATCTCGGGAAGAACTTCCTCAGGTACCTCGGTTGTCTTTCCAGACAGTACAAAGAAGAAGAGATCCAAGATTCTATCAGATCGTTCCTCTGGAGACATCTGTAATAGTTGCAACAGTAGCTTTGCTCGCATCCGACTCTCGCCCCCTGTATAACCGTCACGGCCATATTGTGAACAAATCAACCATCCAGACAAAAGTGCCCCAAAGTAGGCGATAAATTCGAAGAATGGCATAAGCTTGTCGAGGAGCATTTTGAATTCTTGTTCTGATCAATTTGAAACCTACATTCAACCATTAGTATCTTCGGTTCATTCAAATCTGAAGCCATAAGACTAAGTTCAGTACCTTCAGCGTTGTGGCAAAATCCGAAGATCGTGATGCTTTGCGGAGGAGTGAGATAGTGAAACAATTTGTGAAGAGAAATTTTGATGTATTTATGATAATTTCCAAGTTTGTGTGAAACCTTGGATCGTGGGTAGCGTGAACCTAAATTCTACGACGGACTCAAGCTAGTAATTTAGCACGAACAATCGGAATTTACTGATTGTCATTTGTACAGTGTCGTGTTCCAAGAAAATTTGGAATCGATCCAGCTTTACGACAAAAGATCATTCGATTCTGGTATTTTCGAAAGTTACTTTGATTTTGGCCTGGAATTTGTTAATTTTGCTCACCTTCACTATACACATATCGTGACCACTTCTCAGATGTCGAAATGCAAAACATTTCAAACACTTTCTTTACTTAGAATACCAAGGTTTAACTTCGAGTAAGCCGAGACTTAAAGCATTATAATGACCTGGATAATCCAAAGTATCATCTGATATATCGAGAGTTCAATGAATTCCGTGTACTGAAAGTGCCAAGACTGGTTCGAGACAACCGGATTCGTACCGTGAGGTATATTGGACGTCACTATCTAAATGTTAGCCAGAAAAACAAAGGATAGCTCTATCCTGGAAGTGAAAGGAAATTTCCTCAAGCTATGTTCATTCTTCTTCCCACTCATTCTTCAAGCAACCCATTATTTCGACATTCTAATTATTCGCTGATGTGTTTAAGTAGGAAAGAGATCGAGCTCGGCAGTATTAATAAAAACATAGTCCATCTGGGTGTTTGATTTGTATGAATTACCAGCTGGAAATCGATGAATTAAGGTTGGTTTTCAACAGTCCAAATTGACAAGCCGAAAGCTGGATTATGGCAAAATTCTATGCTGGCCAGTGGTTTCGCTGTCTAAAAGACACAATCCCAGTGTCATGTAAACAGAAGGATGTATCTCAATGAACGAGATATTCCAATGCCGTAGAGTCAAAGCCATAGATAGTACCTGAAAAGAGGAAGTCTCTTAAAGAGGAGAAACTTGTAACCCCTCAAACTTTTCATCACAGCTGACGTCCATATGAGGATCGAAATTTGACTTGCGAGTCTCGGGGAAGAGACTGAGTTATCCAACGACAGAGAAGCTCACTTCTTTGAATTTGAGACTCTCTCATATAATTATTATTCTGAATTCGCTCTTATCTCAAGATGGCGCTGTAGTTGAGAGGTTGCCCAACAGCTTTTAAATCAACGTGCCTCAACGTTCACCAATAATTCGAGAGAAAAATATACATGCCACCTCTTTTGCTGTTGAGTGTTAAAGGTTGCCAACGAATAGAAATTTTCCACGAACATAGTCCCGGAGAAACATCTCTCAATGCCTGCCGTTTTAAGTCGTGTTTCGGCAACCCGTTCAAAAAATATACCATAACATGTTGTGCTGTAATGAACAAAGTATCTCCCTTGTAACGAGGCTCCGATATCTAAACTTGCCAACGACGAGAGTCTTCCCATGAAACTCCGATCCGATGGTGATTCAAACAGAGCTAATGAGCGTTCCAATAATGAGGTAATCAATGCAGGGAGTTTTCTCAGTGATTTTAGCGTACTTTGCCGCAATGAAGTGAGTGTTCCAAGTTCACAACATTCGGACAAAGGAGTGTTCCAACGAAAGTCTTCCACTCCAATCAGGATAGTGTTCCAGTTTCATCACGAATTTATTGTAAGTGAAAATTCCAAGTTCCACAACTTTTCATAAATAGAATGTTGAGTTTCCAAATCCATAGAATTTTTATCCAGAGGTTGTTTCAATCAAGTGAATGTTCCAATTCCACATCTTTTCTTCTGGAAATCCTCCTTCGATGCATGACCCATTATTATTATTATTATTATTATTAGTAATTTTCAACCAGGCCGTATAGGCAAGCCTCCCAGGGGGCATTACAATTGGGCTAACTGCGGGATAATTTTCTAGTTTACATAATCCCCCTTTTCTAGAGATAGGGTCTCAATACCCTCAATAGCCTCCCAAGCGATAGCTAGCGCACTTACACCTTTGTCTCCAATCCTCTGAGTGCTTCCGTACGTGCTTTCCGATTTTTTATATAGTATTTATTTGAAAACTGCTTTATTCTATAAGGGTAGCTTTTGTATATATTCTATTGTAATATGGTATGCTGTATACTTCAATTTTTTTCTATATAGCTTTTCTAGATCTATTCTCTTCTACTCTCTGCTTATGTTCGCCTGGATCAATCGATTCCTTTCCTTCTCTCTTTCTATTCTTCTGATAGTGTTTTAGGGTATATGCTTTTATAGAAATCTATTATAGCAATGAATTTAGCGAATTTGGCTAGTATATGCATTAGTTGTTTCAGTAGTCGTTCTTGAGCTGCTTGATTGCAGAGTGGGTATTTGGGCTTGATATCTGGGGGCCAGGTTTCATAGGTCACGAGGACTTTGCGGCAATGCACAATATGCTCGGGGGATTTGAATGCTCCGCATGAGCAGATGCATGACCCATTGTAACAAAGAGAAGGTCAAAATTCCAATTTCTCATCAAATCGAAGCAGGAATTCTTAGAGGTTAGCTTTTATAATAATAAGGAATATTATTATTATAATAATAGTGGAAGATCTAGTCAATTTAAGCTTAAGGGATAAATCGAATATATATAAGAGTTGAATTGAAGTCAATTTAGAAGAGCTAGGCTGAGTTGAGATGAAATTGCTTGCTTTTTCCTAGGTTTTCTTTAAAGAATATCCTAGGTTTATATAGTTTATAATGAAATTCCAGTATTTTCTATGCTTATAAATAAGATTGATTTGAATCGAATCTTATAGAATAATTTTATATAATAAAAAGAAAGTACAACCAATCGATTTACCGATATTTCCCATATACTTCCATTTAATTCCATTTCATTCTATTCCATTATAAATCAATTTGATAAGAGATACTATTATACAACTGTATGATAATATGATTTTAAATATAAGATCATATTATATGCATATTAGTCATTAAGATATCTCTTAATTAGTAAGATATTAATAAGTGATTTAGTGGACTTATTATGAATCCTCACAGGAATGATGAGGTAAAGCGTACTTTCGTTTCACAATATTCTGACGAAAATTGTGCTTTCAACGTATGGATTGTTGCGATGAAGTATTTGGCCCAATCCTATGACATCTCAACGCAAAAAGTATTGTAATGAGGTCAGTCTTCGATGCGAGTCAGCGTTCTGGCTTCGATAACTCAATGTTTTAGCAAAAAGAGAGCTCGGTGTGCGAAACCCTTTGTGAGATAGGGTGTTCTTGAGGAGATATCTTGATCATATTGGGTAGTTTGATGATAGATACCATGGGTGAAATGTGCCATGAAGATGATTGTTCGATCATAAAAGACTGCGTGTGCAACAAAAGTAAACGCGAGACAAACAGCACAGCAGCCGAGTAAGTTTGATGTCAAATCGAGGTCTAAGAATGACGATTCTCAAAAGTTTATCAAACAAAGAGTAAGTATTGACTATACTCTAAGTTTTAACTCTCAGCGGACAGTCATGGTCATAACTTCAAAACTCTGAATTTTTTTTGCTTCGAAGTGAGGAGTGATATGGCATAAGAGTGCAAGATCGTCAACGAGATTGTTGGCTATGCAAGCCCCAGTTCGGTTATTGAGATGTCAATTCAAATAGATTAGTCGTCTCTGGCTTGATTACCGGCTCTGAGCATATCTTGATGATGACTAAGTAGTCCGAGAAGTAGCTTTATATTGATTTTGAGCTTTTGGTTTTGAATATCGACATTGAGATAGAGGTTCTCACGGAATCTCCAATTCACAATGTTGACAAATCGACACGGAGACTGACGGAATACTGAGATAGCAATCCAAGCAGGCTAGCCACTTCAAAGCTTTGAATTGAGACGCTGAGATATGATTGATGTTGTATCTTGCGCTTCGGGAAACCAATGCGAAGCCTCTGCTGATAGCATCTAGTTGCGATAAATATTGAGGAGAACCTTTGATAGAGCGGGTTTCGAATAAATGGAGTTTTCGAAAGTGAGGATATCTGGATGATGATGATATCTGAAGGAAAGACATCTGAGTGATGATGATGATATCCAGGGTAAGACCTCCTACCGGCGAAATATTTGATAATTTATCGCGAGGATATTCAAATAGCATAGATCAATGCTGAAGTGATTGGTAGGAGGTGATCTGACCGTCTTTGAGTTCCCATGCAGCTAATGGGTCGATCAGATCTGAGTTCATTGTTCTTCGCGTTCGCAAGGAGATTCCCAGCTCGAACTTATGGAAAGTCTAGTGATGATCGACAATCCTGGGGTGTCTGATGATGATTGACAGTCCCCTCGAATACTAACGCCCGACAACGACCGTGAACGTCGAACTCTGTAGGGGCTCGGGATGCGGTCCCTTGGCCGCTGGACTCGGTGCAAGCATGGTCGAGCCTAGAACAGCACCATGCGGCTGCCCCAGTGTGCGACCCCCGGGTTAACCCGCTCTAAGGGTTGTCGATCTACGATCTCACGCAGATCTTTCTCGTTTCATCATCTCTCGCTCTGCTTGCGCTTCGGTGGCTCGCAATCGAATTATAACAAGGGCGATAAGAAAAATGTCGAAAAATGCCAGAATCAAGGAAGCAACCTCGCCTGGACCTTCCTTCCACTTAGGATCCTCCTTCTTCTTCTCATGATCGATATACAATATCCTTACAAAAGCGAGGAAAGCAACAAGAGAATTGAATATAGCAAAGCCAAATTCCGCCGCGCGAAGTCGATAGGAGAACAGGGAGACCAGGTCCAGAACGAGGAGAGCCGAGGAAAAACACTGACAGCACAGCGAAGCTGGCTGCAGGTCCGTACCAAGACTCCACTTGCTAGTAGCCCACCAAGAAACCGAAAAA